ATCTCTCATGATGAGGGCCTTGTTTTGAGCTTCACTTCAGGACACTGTCATAGTCTACCTACAGCAAAAAGACAAAAAAGACCATACAGATGTGCCCATTGTTCAAATAACAGTTCATTCTTCTGTTACTTTGGACAACGAAGGCTCGTTCCCAGTGAAGATTGTGATTTGTGAGAGTTTTCATGGAATTACCAGTCGCAGAAATCATCCGTACTGATGTAGAGATGTTTAGTCGTGTGTGTGTGTATGAGGTTCTTCTCCAGAGTCAGAGTTCTACTACAGTAGAGTTTATAGAAACATACAGGAGTACAATGTACTGCTGTGGACGTATTTTAGACTCCTTAAAGAATCTATATCGGTTTAAGCTTTATTTAGAATATTTCGCCTCTTTACTTTGATGTCAGAGAACTGAAGTTGTTATCTTTGATCTCTACAAAGACACCAGACTCCATTCACTGAAACAGTGATGTAACCTCTCAGACCACAGGAGTTGTTGCTCTACTGCTGCCTCCATCTGTTAGTGTGTTTGTGTTATTGTGTGACTTTGGTGATTCTGAACACACAATGACCCAAACACACTAACAGATGGAGGCAACAGTAAACCAGCAACTCCTGAGTTCTGAGAGGTTAAATGACTGTTTTTATGAATGGAGTCTGGTGTCTTTGAAGAGAACAAAGATAACAGCTTCAGTTCCCCTCAGAAAGGTCCGTCTGACATCAAAGTAAAGAGGAGAAAATATTCTAAATAAAGCTTAAACTGATATAGATAATTTTAGGAGTCTAAAATATGTGTTTCTATAAACTCTACTGTAGTAGAACACTGATGATGGAGAAGAACCTCATACTAACACACTTCTAAACATCACTACTGTCCTTTTTGAAATGAATCATCAGTACTGATGCTTAAACTTCAGTGCTTTCAGTTAGAATATGGAAACACGAGCTCCGGTTGCCATTTCACTTCTCAACTGCAGCATTTTTACCCTCAGTGGGTGTTTGAAACTCAGTGCGCCCATTATAGATGAATCCATAATGGCTCATAAAGGCTTGTGCCCGCATGACGACTCAGCATTTCTCCATTTGATGAGCTCTTATAGAGTAATAATGCATTGCCCTGCATAGCTCCTAAGTGCTTAAAAGCAACATGGCCCATCCATCAAAAGCGTTACGTTGTGCATTTAAACATCTGAAAGGCTCCTCTCTTCCTCCCGTCTTCAGGCTTACCTCAGAGCTCACCGGACTCCCTGGCCGAGTCCTGGTTCCGGGCCAAACTGAGCCGACAGCGGAGCTACAGCTCGGCACTGTTCTATGAGGAGTCGGACCTGGACCTGAGCCGCTCGCTGGGCATCCACGCTCTCATCGACAACATGGTCAGCTTCATCAGCGGCGATGTGGGCCTTGCTCCGGCCTTCAAGGAGCCAGAGGAAAGTATGTCCACCAGCCCACAGGCGACTATCCTGGCCATGGAACAGCAACAGAGCAGGGCAGAGGTGAGGGGCTCTCTCAGGACCTCTCTGGGTCTCTGTCTCACTCTAAGTGAGCTCACTCTTATTGGTGCAGAGCCACAAGTCTTTTCTGACCCGTGACATAAAATAAGAGGCGTGACACACAGCTTCGCCACACGTCATATGAAACTGATGTCGCTTTAAAATGTTGCCTACGAAGCAAAGGATGTCTCATTTAGTTAAATTCCTCAACTCCTCTCTCCTCATGTCTCTTCCTCGCCTCCTCCGCTCACATCTCAGGTGGAAGGCACTAGGATGCAAGGAGAGGAGGCGAGGAAAGAAATTGATGGATGTACAAACTTAATCCCTGTGTGTTCATGGTAATGAATGAATCTACACGTCATCGATGTGTTTTAAGAAGAGATATCAGGCTTTGATACACACACACAATACTTGTTAGATACAATCAATATTGTTGTTTTTCAGTAAGAAAATGGTAGAATATAACCAGATTTATTCTTTAAAACTACGTAGTGTCAAATGAATGAGGCAGATTTTCTGAAAACAGTAACACATTATTGGTAATAGTGCAGCTGAAAGATCTAGAAAACACATGCGACGCTGTTAGAATGTCCACTCGACCACTGGGATGTGTTTGTAATCTCCAGCTGCGGTTGGAGGCGCTCCACCAGATTGTGGTGTTGATCTCCGGCATGGAGGAGAAGGGCAGCCAGCCCGGGGACGCGGATCGATCCGGCGGCGCCTTCCAGTCCTCCTCCCTGCTCACCTCCGTGAGGTTGCAGTTCCTGGCGGGTTGCTTTGGCCTCGGCACCGTGGGCGCCGGAGGCCTGAAGAGGGAGAGCGTGCAGCTGCATCACTACCAGGTACGTGTGAGCCTCATCAACTGCTGATACTGATGAGCATCGATAGTCAAGTGACAGTTCAGTTTAACTCAAACTTGTAATGCTGCAACATTTTTGCTGCTTTGATACAAATGGAAAGCTTGCACAGAAGATGTCAAATGTAACTTGATTTACTCAGATTTAAGAGTTGTTGGATACACAGAATTTGGTGGTCGTGACTCTGCATACACAGCGAAGCACCAATCACAATTACTCTCATCAATTTATCAAACAACCAAAGCAGGAAAAAAGAGAAACACTGAAACAAAAATTTTGATTGCAAAAGTGAGAAAATATTTCTGCTGCAGAAAGGATGATGTTGAAGAAACGGGTACTTTGTTGTCATCTGGTGAAAATTATTTTCATATCACAAAAAAAATTAAAAATTCCCAAAGTCAGTTTTCAGCATATACATAGTTTATATGAAGTGGACGTAGTCATCATGACGTCACCCGTTGGTTTGTGGACTGATGTTTTGAAGACTCGAGTCGGGCGATTTCGCCGTCGCCCCTAAAGCATCCCCTGCTTTATGGTCTGTTTGACTCTAAATGGACCATAATGTACTAAATGAACATCATGCTGTATTGAAGAAGACTTGAAACTAGAGATTGAGACCATAAACTCATGTTTACAATGTTTACTGAGGTAATAAATCAAGAGAGAAGTAGAGTCATTTTCTCATAGACTTCTATACACCCAGAGGAGTCGCCCCCTGGTGGACACTAGAGAGAATGCAGCTTTAACACATGAAGCATCAGCTTCACTCTTCAGAACCGGAGGTTGGCGCCTGGTTGTCAGTAATGTCGTGCAGCCTGAGTAGTGACCATATTAACTGTGTGTTTACATCTTTCTCTTTTGCAGGATGGTGTAAAAGCAACGAAGAGGAGCCTCCAGATGGAAATCCAGACAGCTGTTCATAAGATCTACCAGCAACTGTCTGTCACACTGGAGAGAGCACTGCAGGCAAACAAGCACCACATAGGTAAGAGAGACGACTGCTGCACGACCTCAGCAGTGGAGCCTCCATCATTTATCAGGATCAAATTATTCAGGTTGTAGAATATACGAATTAAAGACATTGAACATTAACATTAACTTTTTTGTCGTACCTGCAATCTGCTCTCACTTGTTCATTCAAAGTGCAGGGCAACTTTCAAAAGTAGTTAATTGGGCTTGTTTTACATTTACATTACTTCGGGGAAGGTTTTTGACGGGGGCCATGATGGAACACGCCCCCTCAGTTTGGCCTTGATGCCCCGCCCACATTGCCTCAGCTGATTAGTCCTCTGCCTCTTTCCCGTCAATCAATTTTTTACAGATTCTATTTCAGCATCCTTGAGATTCTGAATACTTATTGAATGCTAAGTGAAACACTGGGCACACAACCAGAGTAGAAGAAGAAGTGTGAGCGTTCTCCTGCTAACAGACCCTGTATGTAAATAATTATGAGGATGAATGTTTAAAAATAAAAAAATAAAACACACCCACAAGTCTTCGATCCACGTCGTTCACAACTGGATTTATAACAGAATATTAACTTTGTCTGCAGGCAACAGTCAACAAAGTAGGAAATAATAACAACAAACACAAACAGACAAAAAATAAACCTTTTAACTACGCAGATAAATTACTCCGCTCAATTCAACAAAACCTTCCACAACTGAAATGTAAATGCCGATTAATTATTCTATGAAATAAAAAGTTTTTGTTTATTCATTTCACTGATAGTTATGTATCCAAGTTAAAATGATCTTTTACCTTTGGGTTAAATTAAGTATTTCTGTCGACCTAAAATCATCGTGCCGTCATTAAATTGAGGACACCGACGGCAGAGCGGCTCCTGAAATGATGAATTTCCAGGCTTCGCTATATTAACAGCCTGTTTGATTATTTTATCTCTTTCTCTCGACCTCTTCTCCGTCCTAGAAGCTCAGCAGCGCCTCCTGCTGGTCACCGTCTTTGCGCTGAGCGTCCGCTACCAGCCGGTGGACGTATCCCTGGCCATCTCCAGTGGGCTGCTCAGCGTGCTGTCTCAGCTCTGCGGGACGGAGACGATGCTGGGCCAGCCGCTCCAGCTGCTGCAGAAACCCGGAGTGTCTCAGCTCAGCACCGCCCTCAAGGTGGCCTCCACACGCCTGCTGCAGATACTGGCCATCAGCACCGGGTAAGAGCTTTAGAAACCGGAGGAATGAAATCTGCGCTTCGTAAAACCCGAAGATTATATCAACAAACTGTGTTTTGTCCTTTTGATTCGCAGGACGTACGCGGACAAGTTGAGTCCCAAGGTTGTCCAGTCGCTGCTGGATCTGCTCTGCAGTCAGCTGAAGAACCTGCTGTCCCAGGCGGGAGTCAGTCTTCTCTCTTCTGGAAAAGACCAAGAGGACAGCAAACAGGAGGACGGAGCAGACTCTGAAAAGAAAGACTTCAGAGGTTATGGAGTTTTTATAATACACGGTTAATACACGGATAACACACGGATAACACACTGATAACACACGGAGTACACTGGTTTTCATCAACAGAAGCTATGATCAAACACTTTTGTTGACAATAGTATTTCCAGTAACTAACTAAAATATAAAACTAATTTAACCTTGTTGGCAAGAATGATTTGGATGTAGACGCAACGTATATGTCTCTGGTAGCGACCTGTCAATCACCGTGTAGCCCCGCCCTAAAGCATCCCCTGCTTTATGGTCTGTGTGACTCTAAATGGACCATAATGTACTAAATGAACATCATGCTGTATTGAAGAAGACTTGAAACTAGAGATTGAGACCATAAACTCATGTTTACAATGTTTACTGAGGTAATAAATCAAGAGAGAAGTAGTCATTTTCTCATAGACTTCTATACAACCAGAGGAGTCGCCCCCTGGTGGACACGAGAGAGAATGCAGGTTTAAGACATGAAGCTTTGGCTTTACTGGACAGAACCGGAGGTTGCCGCCTGAAAGAATGGTTTAAAAACGGATCCCTTTAAGAGCAATAGTTACTGTGCCTACAGTGAAAGTGTTTGTTTTCCATGAAATGTAACCAAAGGTCTGTAATTGTGTCCGTGTTTTTTATTGTCTTGTTCATCAGCGTTGATCCGTAAGCAGCACACTGCTGAGCTGCACCTCGGAGACTTCCTCGTCTTCCTCAGGAGAGTGGTGTCCTCCAAGGCCATCCAGTCCAAGATGGCCTCCCCTAAATGGACCGAAGTGCTGCTCAACATCGCAGCGCAGAAATGCTGCTCAGGTACAACCAGCCGTTGTGACACACAACACCGTGTAACATGTGCGCCTGCTTCATGTTACAAAGCTGAGATATTCATTAACCCCTCGTGGCTGTTTTGATTCTAGGGGTCCCTCTGGTGGGCAACCTGAGAACTCGGCTCCTGGCTCTTCATGTGCTGGAGGCTGTCCTTCCTGCCTGTGAGGCCAATATGGAGGACGACCAAATGACACAGGTTTGTCGGCTTTCTTTGCTTTTTTTTTTTTTTTTTTTTTGTGCAACTCCTCAATAACAGCCAGTGAGCTGATAAAGTTTGTTCTCTTCTAGGTTGTCGAGCGGCTCTTCGCCCTTTTGTCCGACTGCATGTGGGAAGCTCCCGTTGCTCAAGCCAAACACTCGATCCAGATTAAAGAAAAAGTTCAGGAACTCAAACTGCAGGTGTAGTAATCATCCTCCATCCTCCCCCCCGACTCATGTTTTGATTGTTATGACTATTTGTTCGAGTGGCCGACGGTTCCTTTGATCCCCAGGGCGAGTCAGAGGAGGAGGACGAGAACCTTCCCATCCAGGAAGTGTCCTTTGACCCGGAGAAGGCTCAGTGTTGCTTGGTGGAGAACGGCCAGGGTCTGACGCATGGCAGTGGGGGTAAAGGCTACGGCCTGGCCTCTTCCGGCGTCTCCTCTGGATGCTACCAGTGGAAGGTACAGTACTGTTTATTACCTAATCTCCTGCTGCTTCCACGCGCTCCTCGGATGCTTTGACATCCCGACTTGTGGAAGTCGTTCCGACTTCGGAATCTACAAAGAAGATGTTCTGTAGTTTACTACTCGGAGCATTTAAACAACACGTTGATAGCCATTACAACTTCCGTAGTCTGAACCAAGACGGCAAACTTTATTACACCTTTCAACCTTGACAAAGGCAACACAGACCAGATCCACTACTTCTGTTCTTACCTTTCACAATAAAAGCCCTCAAATTCACTCAGATGTATTCACTGAAAGGAAATATCTTAGTGTCTTCGGCTATAACAGTTCAGCTCAGACAGTCAGACGCTGCTCTGGGTCAACAGGATGCTGGTTGTTGGTCTTCTGCTTGTGAATCTGTTTTAACCTTTGAAGTGTTGACAAAATTGCATCGCTGCCAGTATGAATAGTTTTGATACAAAATATTAGCAGACGAGTATTTCCCATTATTGTGTTGTCTATTAGTCCCGCCCCCGGTGTGGAAAGACCAACTTTTCTAACTAATCAAGGTCCCTCTACGTGGACAGCAACTAACGGTTACAACCTTATACCCTCTTAAAATTGATACGCAATACATGAATTAATAACAAAGTTTCTCATCGTCAACACATTTACTTTCGTTCGCCATCTTTCTCAGTCATGTGATGTCAATCGGCAAGTCGTGTAACAAAGTTTTCAACATCTTTCCTAGTTTTTGTTCCGACTTGAGGGGCGGGGCGGGGCGGGGCGTTCATGGGAACTTTCCCAGTCGGGAACTCATTTTTTTTTTTTTTTTAAACATTTCAAGATCTTCATGAAGCCAGCTGAATGTACACACCAGGGCTGAATAATCTGATAGTTAAGGAAGGATAACAGTAGAGGCAGAGCATTAATTGATGGGAAACTGTTTTACACAGAAATATAAACTTATCTAATTTTTTGCCTGTTTTGAACCACGTCCCATTTTATTTCCTCTGTAGTTTTACATCGTGAAGGAGAACCGAGGCAATGAGGGCACGTGTGTGGGCGTTTCACGATGGCCCGTGCACGACTTCAACCACCGCACCACGTCGGACATGTGGCTGTACCGGGCATACAGCGGGAACCTCTATCACAACGGAGAGCAGACGCTGACTCTGAGCAGCTTCACTCAGGGAGACTTAATCACCTGCGTCCTGGACATGGAGGCCAGAACCATCTCCTTCGGCAAGAACGGAGAGGTGAGAGACACTGAATATTGATTTGGATATTTAAAAAATAATTTAAAGTATCACAAACTGCGTTGATCATTGCTAGTCCGTCCCTAAATTATGAATGCCTCGTCTGGACATGGACACGCATGCATATTCATTTATTCGCACACAATTCAACAGCAAAGACGAAACATGAAAGAGCTACGTGTCCTCCTCGGGGTTCTGTGTTCATCTCTAACTGCTGACTTGTGATTCAACAGGAACCAAAGTTGGCCTTCGAGGACGTTGACGCCACAGAGCTCTATCCCTGTGTGATGTTCTACAGCAGTAACCCAGGAGAGAAGGTAACGCACATAAACATCCACCTTCTGCTCCATCTGCAGGAGTTCTTTCATCTGCTCATTTTTACAGTGACTCAGCTGTTACTGGGGGATGAGATTCCATAACTTTAAGCTTTTGTTCTGGTATGAGCTCTGAGGGCGAATTCACAGAAGGATTGTTAGGGTTTTGCAGCTGTTAAACCTGCACAAATACTACAAAAAAAAACACTGTGTGATTCTTCTGGCAACAAATAATACTCACCCCCTGTGTCATTTACTCATATTTAAATGAGGTAGTATGCAAAACTGTGGCCATTTTTATGTTAATGAGCCTCATTGCAAAAACAGTCCAATTCACAAAGACAATTACACGCAGTTACACTAATGTGATGCTTTCTATATATATATATATATATATGTGTGTGTGTATATATGTATGTATGTGTATATATAT